GGGTGGGGAGCGGGGTCCGGGTTCCTCGAGCAGTTTTAGCGCCAGTCTGGAGCTTTCTACCCCACCGGCCGGGCTGCTTCCTGCCTCCCCAGAAGCGCCCCCTTGGGGTGGTCTCACGCTGTCAAGTGCTGCATCCTAGGCTTTTCGAAACTGCCTTCTATGCCCCCAGTTGCAGGCTTCTGCACCAGGTGATAAGGAGGCTGAGGCAGGAGGACCACAAGTTTGAGCCCAGCCTAGACAAGTTGCAACGTGGCAAGACCCTGTCTCGAGATTAAAAAAAATAATAAGAAAGAAAGAAAGAAATGGGCTGGGATGGTAGCTCAGTAGGAAAGCCCTGGGTTCCGTGTTCAGTAGCAATACTAAATAAATAAACATAATATAAAAATGATAGTCCAGCTGGGGGTGGAGTTGAATGGTATGAGTGTTTGCTTAGCATGTGTGAAGCCCTGGGTTCCATCCCCCAACACGGCAGAAAAGAAAGGAAGGAAAAGAAAATTCACAAAGGATAACATTCCATAGAGGAAAATCTCAAAACTTTATACAAAGATCACAGAGAAACTGAGAGCAATTAATTTTCTGTCTTAAATTCGGTTAAAGTTTGGGATATGTTTTATTCTGAAATAGTAACAAAGTTTTCACAAACACAAAATCTTGCCCATGGGGTTTGAGGTGGAAGGGAGTGACAAGGACTCTGGAGACCTTGTTAGTGTTTTGAGGACAGAATGGTTTCCCTCCCTCTTTCCACCCTGTCCTCACTTTTTCTCTGAGTAATTTGACTCTTGAACATTGAATGTGAACATGTTTTCACAGGTAGATACTGTATGAAATCAGAAGACTTCCTGGAACGCCTTTTTATTCTTGTGTTTGTTTGTTTGTTTGTTTGTTTTTGGTTCTAGGGGTTGAAGCCAGGGCCTTCATACTGAGCTACATCCCAGACCGTTTTTCCTATGTTTTATTTTGAGACAAAGTCTCTCTAAGCTGCCCAGATGGAACTCAAACTTGGAATCCTCCTGCCTCAGCCTACCAGAGTGCTGCAATTACAGGCATGTGCCACCATGCTGTTTCCCCTTTCCTCCAACAAGCCCTTCTCTGGATATCTTGTGTACTGTGTCTGCCATAACAAGAGACCAGCCCAGACAGAGCCAGGAGTCCAAGATGGCAGTGCCTGAAGCTGGGTTTCGCCTGGGGCTGATGAAGGCAGCCATCGGTCATCTTCTCCTGTGTCTTCACGAGGTCCTTGTCTGTGCAGTTTCTCTGACAAGCACACAGCTGTGTCAGAGCCCAGGCTAATGGCTGTGCTGTAATTTAACCCCCAGGCCAGGCCTCAGCTCTGAGCAGTCACATGCAGCAGGTGCATGGGTTAGGACACAGGGCTGCCTGTGGCTCCTCAGTAACCTGGGTTCCTGCCCTCTCTCTTGTGGACAAGCACCTCTAGATTGCCACACACCTCACTTAAGCACCTGCCTCCTCCCCAGAACCTTGTATCCTATCAGGAAAATATTAACCGGAACTTGCCTCCCAGCCTCCCATAGAAACACAGCTTGCTTTTATCAGTTGCTAAATAAAATTATATCTTTTCTTAAATTTTCCTACCCACTTCCCACCTCTGTGCTAGGAGGGGATGTGACATTAAAATGTCACTGTGGTATCTGGACTCTTACCAGTAGGAAATATGTGTTGATGATACTGAAGATATGATATCATGATTCGTGAAGGGAAAATCCTGGTCATATTTTCAGTGTTGATTTGAAAATCCTAGGACAGAAGACTTTGATGGTCACAGCTGGCTGTTTAGATAAAATAAGCTCCCGTAGTAACCTATCTTTATGGCGAGGGGATCTGGGAGCTGGGCAGATGCTTCAAAGAGGTCTCTGAATGAATGGATAAATAGCATAGTTGTATCCTTAGGGAAAGCCATGCTCTTGTATACTTGTCCACACCTAGGGTGTTGTGGTTTGTATCTAGATGTTTCCTCAAAGCCTCGTGCACTCATAGGTGTGGTTTTTGGGAAGTGACTGTGTCATGAGTCTGTGGTGCTGGGTGAGTCCACTAATGAGTGTGGAATGGGGTGTGAAGTTGGGAGGTGAAGCCTGGTGGGTAAAGGTGATCGCTGTGGGTATGGTCTGGAATGGTATCTACCCCTTGTCTTGATGGCTCCCTCCCTGCTCCTCCCTGCCCTGCCATGGACTGTTTCTCCTCTGCCAGGCCCCTCTGCCGTGCTGCCCTACCCTGGAACCAGCCAACCCTGGACTGGACCTTCTACAAACTGTGAGTCCAAATAAACCTCTCCTCCTTTAACTTCTGGATGTTGGGTATTTTGTCCCAGCAATGAGAAATACAAAGGAGAAAAAGAATATGGAAAGGGGGAATTTTATATATATATATATATAT